AAAAGTATTGGATCAATAGCTGGTCAGCCATTTGGTGTTGTGGACAACTTGCTACTAGCCTTTTAAATCGTTCCCAGTACTCGTACAAAGTCTCCCCTTGCATCTGTCGCACTCCACAAATTTCTTTGCGTTGAGCGGCGACTCGAATGGCCGGAAAATACCTCTGGAGAAAGATCTTCTCCAACTGTGCCCATGTAGTGATCGATCCCGAATGTATGTAATAGAGCCGGTCCTTTGCACTATCCTTGAGAGAAAATGGAAAAGCACGTAGCTTCACTTGCTCCTCGGTCACCCCCTGGTGGGTTTCATGCTGGAGCACACCGTGTGAAACTCCTTCAAATGTTTGTGTGGGTCCTCGCCGGCGAGACCATTGAATGATGGCAGCAAATGGATCGGCCCGGACTTCAACTCGAACGTGGTATTATTCATCTTTGGGAAGTTATGCAAAGAGGCTGGTGTGGAAGTACGACACTAGCAAGTTGCCTTAAAGTACGCTCCTCGTTCGCCATGAGTGCTTCCTCGGTGATGATATTGGTGTCTTCTTGGCTCTGATCGCTCCCACTTTCGTCCTCTACGTCGCTTTCGATTTCGAATTGGATACCCTTGCCGAAAATCGCCTCTTTCTCTTGTCGAGCCTTCTTCCTTAGCTCGGTATCTCGTCTCGTAATCTCCGGATAATATTCAAAGTCTTCAGCCCCTGAAAACCTTGTTTTCATTCACCTGAAATCAAGAAAAAATTTAGCTCAAACGTGACAAAATTCAGAAATAATTTGATGTAAAAACCCGACGTAATTTCTGTTATTACCGGGGGCGATAACTGAAAAGCAACAAAAATTTTCAAGAAAAATTCAACTTAAAAACGAAAAATCACACACGAAAAAAATAATACTAACTAACACAAATAAAATCACTATTTATCTCGCGCCACTCCCCGGCAATGGCGCCAAAATTTGGCCGCGCGTCGTCTCGCGGCAAATTTATATTTATAAAATTTCCTCGACTTACCCCTACTAACTAGTAGTAGTGGCGAGCAAGGGTCGATCCCACAGGGAGTGTGGCATAAACCATGATTTTATTATATTAATTAGATTAAAATAAAAAGATGGGAGGATTTTGATTTAGAATGAAACTACTAGACTAGAGATGGATGATTTAGATGCAAAAGATGATGAAATCAAAAAATAAATAATTAATCTAGTAAAAATGAGAGTGAAATCGGTCTCAGGTCGGTCTATACCCTCGAATAACTAGTCTAATTAATGCATTTATCAAGTCTCACTCGTCTTCTAAAACTTCCGGTCCTAGATAACAATAAACTCTGCTACCCGAATTCTCCCTTAATTATACTTAATCAAAATAGGCTCTTCAATTAATTCTAAATAGCGATAACTCGAAATAAGCTCTCCTAATTTAATCCACTAGTTGCATTAGAATCTAGGAGAATAGACCGATCTAAGCCACAAACACACAAGCTCGGTTCATGTTACTTATGTTGTGCTATCCCTAACAATGCACGACTGTTAGTTGCAACACAATTACGGATTGCCTCAAATCTAGCATTTAACATGTAATTCCTAACTTAGGTGATCAAGCCAAATTAAAGAACACAGATTATGGCGTGTAACTAGAATAACACAAACAATTTCAAACGACGAGTAAAACAAAATAAAATTGCATTAATCGAACATAGTCATCGTGGGTTCAACGTCCCTAGAACCGAAATAGTGTTTAGCTACTCATAGCTAAATGATCAAAACCAAGATAATAATCCTTGTTCTCCTAAAAAAATAATAAATAAACCAAACTCCTTTTCAAAGTGATCCACGGCTAGCAGCAGCACAAAATAGGAACTTGTTCTCCTGCCCAGTCTTCATTCTGCCCTCGTTCTGCCCTCTGTTCACGTCCTCCCAGTCTAGCCAGAAAATAATAAGAGTCCCCTCAAAATAATCTTCCTTTGCACAAGTTAACCAAGATGAGTCCACAAAATCCAAAATTATATTCCCCCAAATCACTCTTTCTCTCTCTCGCACGTCCCTTTTGCTAGGGAATTAAATCCCCTTCAACTTCTTTTCTTTTCTTTCTTTAATTCCTTAGCCCAATAGATTTAAATCCATGTCATTGCCTACATGGCTGCCACCTCATTAGTGCCACGTTAAAAATAGACGTAATAACTGCAAAATAGACACAAAATTCGATTATTGGCGTATGTCCGTTCACAAAATAAAATAAGTGAGAAAACTTGAATAATACAATAAAATCAAATACTCAAATATATAAATTAGACCACAAAATAGTACAAGGTTTCTCACGTATCAATGTGTGATTTTGTTAAATGTGTGAAATCACCTAAAAATTTCTGAAGACATGTCTAAAAACACATAAAATGTTTTATACTAATGAACTAAGATTGTTTATATCGTATTGTGAAATACAAATTTCAATATATCTAAAAATTGAAAGTTCTTTCAAATATACCCTTGCATTAAATTATTAATTTTTTTTGGTTGTGATTTTATAAAATTTGAAAGGCGTAAGATTGATATTCTCGTATTATTTTTGGAAACACCATTAATGGTTCCATAGTATTATTTAAAAGGGATTCTTCTGTAGTGAAAAGTACAATTTTTTGAAATTATGACCTTTTAATATTGACTTTAAAGGGATTCTTCAACTCTGAAATATCACTAAATGATCTTTTAATATCGTTTAAAATATGTGTTATCTTGTACTATAAAAAATTAAAAGAGATACTTCTGTAGTGAAAAGTATATAATTTTTCAAATATTGTTGAATGATCTCTAACTGAAACATTTATTTTTTATTGACGAAACGGTTTTATAATGGCCAATGTTTTATCTTATTTCTTTAAAATTAAAAATCACCCTACATTAATTTATTAAATTGTTAATTTATAGTCGTTGGACAATGTTTTATCTTATTTCTTTAACATTAAAAGCACACCCTACATTAAATTATTAAATTGTTATTTTATAGGCGTAATATGAGTATTGTCTCATATTAGTTAAATTTAAAGAGTTCGAAATTTCTTTTATCATTGTATGAATGGATTCTTTTTGAAAAGTACCATTTTTGAAAACACCATCAAATGAATTTTTAAACTGCGAAACAGTTTTCTAATGAGTAACATGATTTTTTTATCTAATTTGTTTTTAAAAAATTAATTTTAGAATTTCAATAATGAGTAAATCAATATTATTTTCTTGAATCTTCGAAATTTATTATGTACAACCAAATAAAATTTTCAGTATATTTATGAATCAAAAGTTCTTTTAAACGCATAGAACTATTCATTTTTAACCCGTTTGTTCCCTCAACATTTTACTGTAAATATTGCCAAGGGAGCTGCTGCTCTTGCCTTCATCTGTAAAAATTTCATCTGTAAATAAATTTCATTGCCTTCTACACAGGTCAAAATAGGCCTCGACCAGCTGCCCACCCTGCCAAAAGGGTGGACTGGCTAGGATTTTAAAGGCCCACCATGGACCGGGCCTACACCAGTCCATGCAGGCTTTGCCGAGGCAGGCTGGCTCCTCGTATCAGAAGTATAAAAAAATAATATAGCAGCTATCTACTTGAGGCTGAAGAAAATATTTCCAAAGAGGATCTTCTAAATAGCAAAAGGTGTTTCTCTGGTTGACAATGGAGATAAAAACTGTAGTTACCTGTTGTTTCAGTCATTGCTCCAAAATTTTTCCTTTTAGAAGATGCGATGCGATAATCTTTACATGTGGATTTCATATGGTTTTGTTAGTGAGTCAGCCAAAAAACACGTTCAGACAGCTCTTAGCAACGGGATATGAGCCAAAAATAAAACCCTACAACTGAAATCCCAAATTATTGAGCCCGTAAAAAATTAGGTGAAGCTTATATCACCGCTTCAGTCCAGACCCACCATTGTAATCACTGTAGTCCCCTCGACTGAAACTGAAACCCCTTCTTGTCCCCCAAACTCCCACCAATCATATTTCGACCCGTAATTTTGAAAGCATGATTTCTCTCTAAACAGGTCTATTCGCCCCCTCCCAATTTTTTCAGAAAATTGTGGCTCATCTCCGCCCCATCTCCATCGTTGGATTTTCTGGCTGCTGTGAATGTGATGTTGCTAAGAGAAAAAGAAGAAGACAGAATGATGTTCTGATGGAGAAAAGAAGCGGACCTTACCGATAAAAAAAAATAATAAAAAAGAAAGCGGACCTCTCAGACCATTCTATATCTTATAGCAGGCTTTCTGAAATCCCTAAATTAGCCAGACCATCTAACCCGCGGCCTGCGGATTGTGCGCGCTGGGCTGGCTTTTTGTAAACATGTTACGCAGCGCCAAATTGCGGGTTTTGATGGGCCCAACAGGCTGGCCCGCCCCACCGGCCCATTTTGACATGTATACTGCCTCCTGTGGGAATTCTGGAGAAGAAAGATGTAATACTTTCCTCTTAGGAGTAGGTGGACACTAACATGCGATTGATAGAGATTAATTGGTAAAAAATTGCTTGGTTGGAGATAGTGAGTTAAAGAGCTAATTTATTTTTTTTTTATTTTTTTTTTTTGGTGGAAAGATGAATTATTTCTGAGTTTGTGAATGGATATTAAAATGATTAAAGTTGTTGTGATATGAAAGTAGCAAATAATGATTGTAAATAATTGGTGATTAACAATTCGTGAGTGGATGAATAGTGAATTTTGTTGGAAGATGTGTTGTAATGATTGATTTATATTTTTCATTTGTGTGGATAAGATTGAGAAGAAAGAGTAGGATTAAATGAAAAGTAAATATTTTGGAATAAATGTATATCCAGTCACATGTTTAGTTAATAATATTTATCCGGTGAGACGAAACAGGATATAATTTATATCCTATCTCAAAGTTGATAAAGAAGTTGAATTTTCAAAATTCTAATTTATGTTGCTCTTGTTCCGGTTATGGAGGAAGTTTTCATATGCTCTTAAATGCTAACGCTCTACATATATTATATACATTCCAGTCACTGGAGTGCTTGGTGCGACTTGCTTCCGTGAGACGCTCTCTTTTCACCAATGATGCCACACGTTCTAAGTTCTTGGACCATCTAATGTCAGGAACCAAAGAAATTTTGCGAACAGGGCAAGGTATATAATTTCTGTTATTACTTTGTCTTCAATTTCCACTGCAGTTTTCCTTTCATCGTGGAATCCTTTTGATTTTTCATGAGACCTACTATCTCTTATATTGAATGTGCTGAACTGGGAGTAGGTCTTGCCGACCATGATAACTACCATGAGTTTTGTCGCTTACTTGGACGATTCAGAATTAATTATCAGGTATTACGTTTATATCTAACAGATGTGGTCTTTTCTTAATGCTATTTCTGTGGTGCTGCAGTCGCGCGTGTAAGTAATTACACAATGTTCTCTCATATCTGCTGTCTGTTGTAAATAGAATGTGCTGATTCTATCAAACTCTCATTTTTGATGAGAAAACGTTTTCATTCTCCGTGTAGCTATATTTAGTATAACATGTAATACCTTGATATTTGTTCATTAGTTTTAATGGTACACGAGATTGCATAAGGTAAAGTTTAGTACCGTGAGGTTCCAGTTTGTTAAATAAATTGAAGGGCTATTTACAGAATCTTCAATCACTGTTGCAGGGCATATCAGTCAAGAAATGCCCTTAAGTTGGGACTTGCATCATTGTTAAATGTAGTAAAATTTGTTACTTGTATTTTTAGGAGACAAGATCTGGATAATAAAATTTGTGCTAACTGCATTTATTTTGTTTTATATACTGTGATCGCCAGATATAATGATCTGTATTCCATCTTTTCCTTTCCTCCTGATAATTGCTAGTTGTTGCTCGAAGTTATAGTTTGCATGTCCTTTCCTTTCTTAAATGATTTTTCACAAGACATAAGATCCTAGGAAGTCTTAGTTTATTTAATAATATGGTTGACATTCTGATGCAGTTGTCTGAACTTGTAACCATGGAAGGCTATGGAGATTGGATACGTTTAGTTGCCGAGTTCACGTCAAAATCTTTGCTGTCCTGGCAGGTAAGTGGCTTGAAATATTTTCTAACTTTTGGATATTATCTTGAGATTATGCGGTTTCCTCTTTGTCTGCTGTTAAGTGTTGGAATGATATATCTGTATGTGAAAAGGCTGAATAAGACTATTTTGCAGTGGGCTAGCAGCAGTGTCTATTATCTTTTAGGTTTATGGTCTAGGTTGGTGAGCTCTGTACCTTACCTGAAGGGTGATGCGCCGAGTTTGCTTGACGAATTTGTGCCTAAAATTACCGAAGGTTTTATTTCTTCAAGATTGGACTCTGCTCAGGTTTGGTTCTTACCAATGATTATTTGAAAGCCAAAAAAGGGTATAGCTCGATGAACCTATCTTGTTTTGTAGGCTGGCCTGCCCGATGATATATCAGAGCACCCACTGGACAGTGTTGATCTTCTTCAAGATCAACTGGATTCTTTTCCACATCTTTGTCGGTTTCAGGTTAAATTTTACTTTAAGGGTTTGGTTTGGGTTTGCCGTGTCCTCATTAAACTTCTTATAAATGTGTCTTTTTTTTTTTTTTTAATTAACCTATATAAGCTTATTGTTTCAGTATGAAAAGAGTAGCTTGTTCATTATCAATATCATGGAGCCTATTATACAAATTTACATGGTAAGCTGCATATCTTCCAGAGACGAAATTCTCCTTTGCTGCCTTTCCTAAGAACTCGTGTTTCCGAGTAGAAGGATACAGTTTCAAACTTTTCTGTTTTCAATAGGAAAGGGCACAGCTTCAGACTGGTGATAAAAGTGAACTTCCCATCTTGGAAGCTAAGCTTGCTTGGATTGTACATATAATTGCTGCAGTTTTGAAAAATAGGCAATCTGTTGGCTGCAGGTATCTGCTGTTACTACTAGGACTATTGTCTTCATGAACATCATCACCGTCATCATCATCATCATTATTGTTGTTATTATTAATCATCATCATGATCATCATGATCATCATGATCATGATGATGATCATCATCATCATCATATTCATCATCATCATTATTATTATTATTATTATTATTATTATTATTATTATTACTACTACTACTACTACTACTACTACTACTACTACTACTACTACTACTACTACTACTACTACTACTACTACTACTACTACTACGATTTCTTGCTTCTGCATGTTGGTATGCTAGAAGGATCATTAATATTTTTGTGCATGACTCACAGTGCCGAATCACAAGAAGTAATTGATGCCGAACTTTCAGCTCGTGTTTTACGCCTAGTAAATGTTGCTGACAATGGGTTACACAGTCAGGTAATCCAGCGGAATCATTAAAATAGATACTGCTTTACCCTTTTGGTTAACGAACAACCACGAAGCAAAAGATGCTGAGACGTGTTTATGGTTAAAAATTTAGGCTGAAAATGGTCCCTTGTGTTTATGTTAAAAGTTACTATAAAAAAGAAAACTATGTGAGTTTTTTGGGGTAGGGGTTGCTCAGTATGGAGTAGATCTCGTAATCAATGACAGTAACCAATAAAAATTTTAAATACTTCGAAATCAACCCCACAATTGGTAGTACAAAATAAACGATTAGATGCATAGGAAATTAAAGCTCATTATTGCAAAATTAAGACACTGGTAGAGTTGATCTTAGTAAAGACTAAAGATAAGCCTGAGGTGGATGATGGTTCATTTTTACTGGGAGATAAAAACTCTGATCAATATGAATGGCTGTTTCCCCTTTTTTGTAGCTCTTGTGGTAACTTGGATGTTGTATCGATATCTGAGGGAGAGCTTTTACATTGTCACATGGCTCAGAAACAGACTTTAGAATATTAAATTTTTACTGCTATTAGGGAACCTGGTTATATATACTCAATTTTATTGCAAGTGACGGCGCATTAAAAGGAAATGGTGTTGAAAGACACTTCACTTTTTTGTAAGTATGCACTTGATGGTATCTTTATCTACTTCTTTGAGGTTCTTAAAATTGTCTAAAGCATAATCTTCGATCCCAATTACGAATAAATAAAAAATATCCTTTTATCAGTGTTGCATATGAGGGTTCTGATATTGATAGAATTTTCTTCATGTGTTGGGGCCTCTTTCCTGTGGTTGTAGGGTCCGTTGTCCAACATCATATGTTGTAATATAAACTTGGATTCATTTAGGGCTTAAAATTCTTACCTCAGATAAACATGCATCATAGACTCATAACTAAAAAGGAAATGCAGATATAATTTTTGAATTTTTCTTAGTCACAGATAACATATTAGAGGGTCCTGACATACGGAAAAGTAACTTGGTTTCTCGGACTAGAGTATTTCCACAATTTTGTTGGCCTGCCTGACCCAACTTAAATGAAGTAGCCCAGGGGTAACCTCCTCTGGAAGCTTTTGCAAGCATATCATTTATTTGAAGCTACAGAGAATACTTTTACTAGAAATCTATATCTACAACTCCCTTAAAAGGATGAGTCATTTCTTGAAATTTTGAAATCCCATATTACCCTCTAAAGATTTACCATTTAAGGACATAAATGTAATAGTATAACTTCATTATTATCTCATTCAACCACATGTAAATAAAATCTGAAATGTCACTACTACCCTCAATAGAAAATAATGTTACGTCCAAAAAGTATTATATTATGTTACTTCCAGAAAGTTATATTATGTCTTATTCCAAATACATTTACCGCTTATAATATAAACATTTAAAATTATCAAATAACTATTTAAATTTTAATTCGAATGATTGAAATATTAAAACACATAACTTAATATAAAATTGTTTCAAATAACTTCAAATAAATCGTTCTAAATCATTATTGTGATGTTTTATTAATCATGAATGTCATGACATAGTACTCAATTTTTCTTATAGTATTCCTTGTGTATTTTATAATTAATATTTTTTTATAATACTAATCTATTAAAAAAAAAAACTGACTGGTATCCAAATTTTTGAATGAATGTATTGGCACAACTACATAACTAATATTTTTCATGTACAAATATAAAAAATTCTTGTAATGCAAAGCCAAAAAAAAAAAAAAAAAAATCCATTGATTTGACCTTTTATTGAAACCAAACATTTATCTATTGAACTTTTTTTTTTCCAACGTCATAATGTATTAATCTTTTTTGTTCTTATTGTATTATTTTATTATAAATATATTATTAAATTAACTTATGGTTCTCATTATTTTTTGTTATTTACAAAATGTTTGTATGTTATTTTTTTTTAATTATTGTTTTTTAAATATTAATGTATTAAAATGTTTGTATGTTATTTTTTTAATTAATTTTTCTTAGTATTAATGTATTAAAATAATTTATGACAAATACAACGCCCGTGTATTACACGGGTGCTTGTTAAATTTTTTTCTTAAAATTTAAAATTAATGAGAAAAAGTAGTTGAAAATTTAAATACTTTATATATATATATATTTATACTATTTTAGTATGACACTTGTTACTTGTTCGACTTACATATGTTATATTATAATAATTTTTCTAACTTATAACATATAACTACATTATATATGAATATATTAATTGAGAAATAATTTTATTTTTTAATTAATTTTAATAAATATTTTTTATTATTGTAAAGATAAATATAATTTATTTATTTTATATATACAATATGGATGTCAAATCGAAGCTCATAAAATAGTGATTAATTTGATACATTATATATGTAAAACCGATAAGAAATACAAAAGTTATCAACTTTTAATATACATTTACAATTCAATAGTTATAATCAATGTTTTGAAAACCGAACTGGTCATCGAACCGGTGAAGCTACCGGTTCAATGGTTCACTGGTCGGACCAGTGGCCGAATCGGTCGAACCGGTTTGATTAATATTAAATTTTATTTATTTTATATGTATAATATATAATTGTATATAATTTTTATCATTAATATTATTTATTTTATATGTATAATATATAATTATATATATTTTTATTAATATTATTATTTATTTATTTTATATGTATAATATATAATTGTATATACTATATATTTTTATCATAAATTGGTAATGCAATATTAGCTTATAGTGGACCGGGCTCATTATATGTATATTATTTGGTAAGATATTAGCTTGTGGTTGAGAGAACATACAAATATAGGCCCACTTTAGTACATGTTATTTTGGTTATTGTGGTTAATAGAGTATATAACTTCTTAAAGGAAAAACAAGCCCACCAGCGGCCCAATTAATTAGGCAAACCTGCCCACTAGCTGCCCAATAAATTACACATGTCTTTATTAGCTACTCACATCCCACATCAGATTTACAAAGAAATATTGTCACCTATTTAGTTAGTTTGACAACCTCTCCAATTCAAAGCAATAATTGGACCGCTGGTCCGCGGCAACTGCTCCCGGTTCAATGGTTTTGGCGTTTTTGAACCGGTTCAAGCGGTTTTAAGCCGGTTCTATGCTCCAACGGTTCCATATCTGAAACCGGACCGGTGTAGTGGCCGGTTCCCGGTTGAACTGGTCGAATCGGCCGGTCCGGTTCGGTTTTCAGAACATTGCTTATAATAGGAAATGATATTAAATTACAAATTAATACATTTTATCATAAATAAATCAACATATTTATGGTAATCCGAACTTAATTAGTTTTGGATTTGAATTAAATTAAAATCTATCCAAGTCAAATAACAAAGCATGAAATTTTGACACATAGGATTCCGAAGCATGCGAGCCTGCCACTTAGGCTCAGCACATTCGGGAATTATATATAGGGGGATTTCTATCCTTTTTTTTAATGAATATATTGTCACAACTACATAAATGAGATTTTGCATGTTTTATCTATTTCACTGTTGTTTACATACATAATAATTTTTTATCTACACAGATGTTTTAAAAAATTTTCTTCAACTTCAGAAATAAGATTTTGCATGTACAAATATGAAAAATTCGTGTAATGCAAAGCCAACAAAAGAATAACTGGACAATTTTTCTTTAAAACCAGTATGAGGAGACAAGCCATTCGGATTTAATGAATTCAGGAAATCCTCATCATAATTTCTATTTGTGTCATCGATGGCTTCGTCAAAGCTATTAAATTATTTTCTCTTCTCCCGTATTCATATTAATTTATATAATGTTGTTGTCCTATAACCAACCAAAATAGAGTAAAAAACAACAAATTCTAACTTATATATTTACTTGTTATTCACTTTATTCATTAAATTTGAAAACTCCAATTACACTTAAGAAAAAAAAATTGACTGGTATCAAAATTTTTAAATGAATGTATTGGCACAACTACATATGTAAGATTTTTCATGTACAAATATTAAAAATTCTTGTAATGCAAAGTCAATAAAAAGAATAATAAAAAAAAAATAAAAATCCTTTGATCTAACCTATAATTGAAACCAAACATTTATCTATTTAACTGTTTTTTTTTTTTTCCAACGTCATACTGTATTAATCTTTTTTGTTCTTATTGTATTATTTTATTATGAATATATTATTCAATTAACTTATGGTTCTCATTGTTTTTTGTTATTTACAACATGTTTGTATGTTATTTTTTTTAATTATTTTTGTAAATATTAATGTATTAAAATGTTTGTATGTTATGTTTTTAATTAATTTTTCTTAGTATTAATGTATTAAAATAAATTATGATTTCTATCCTTTTTTTATAATGAATGTATTGTCACAACTATATAAATGAGATTTTGCATGTTTTATCTATTTCATTGCTTTTTATGTACATACATAATGTTTTATCTACACAAATGTTTTAAAATATTTTTTTTCATAAATAAGATTTTGCATGTACAAATATGAAAAATTCGTGTAATGCAAAGTCAACAAAAGAATAACTAGACAATTTTTCTTTAAAACCAGTTTATGAGGAGGCAAGCCATTCAGAATTAATGATTCAGGAAATCCTTATCACAATTTCTATTTGTGTCATTGATGGCTTCGTCAAAGCTGTTAAATATTTTTTCTTCTCCTTATTCATACAATAACATACCCAGTATATTCCCAACTGGTTGGCGTCTGGGGGTTAATTTGTACGCAGACCTTACCTTTGTAATTATACAAGAAGGCTGTTTCCGTAGCGACCCAAGGTGCATTGCGTCATTTGATATGTTTATTTTTCTAGAAACTTCACTAGTAGAAGAAGCACTTGAATTTAATTGAGCCATTTTGATATAGTCCATTATTAGCACTATGCCAACAGATCAATTTGCAATGGACAAACTCTTCTCCTATATTCATATTAATTTATTATAATGTAGTGGTGCTATAACCGACCAAAAAATAGGGTAAACAATAACGAATTCTAACTTATATATTTACTTGTTATTCATTTTATTTATTTAATCTGAAAACTCCAATTACACTTAAGAAAAAAGAAACGTAACTTTTGGATATTTGCTGCATTTTCATTATTTCTTTTGGATATTTTAGTGTTGTGATATTATAAGAAATTACCTTCATCAATGTTTATTTTCGTCACTATGTATTTAAATATTTACTCATATCTATATTTATAGTTATAATATAAATTACATGTAATGAAGAGTTTATAATTTCCAAATTTTAATAAATGAAACTATAATTTAGAATCTTTTACATGTAAGAGTTTATAATTTCCAAATTTTAGTAAATGAAACTATAATTTAGTATCTTCTATCATTTCAGTAAAAATTAATAATTCCAATTTAATGTCATATATATGATTATTTGATATGTGATAAATAATTGTAGTATAGTCAATTCTCAATGTTGAGAATGTATTAGTCTTTTAATTAAAAGTAGGAAAATGAGTTACAAATCATTATTATCTCTAATATAAGATATATTTTTAATATTAATTACAGTTGAATGGTCGTGAATGTTCACTTTCATTTTCGAAATTTAGTAAAAACACACAGAAGTATATATCATGTGTAACAAGTTTCTACGATAATAATCAATTTTTTTTTAAGTAAAAATATAACTTTTATGTAATATACAATCTACTTTCTTTTTTAGTTTAATCGAAATTAAGCAAAATAAATTTAAATCATTTTTTTACTATGGGATTTTAAATCCCTAGAATAATTAAAATGGATTGAAGTTCAGTTTTGAAATAACTATCTAATAATGGAGAGTTGTTTCTTAAAAAGATTGAATTGCCGAAAATTCGATACGCTATAATTAATTTCTAAGGTTACTAATGTGATTTTGTTATAACTGTTTAGGAATTTCAAATATTAATAGTTACAATCATTTTTTCATTCAATATTTTCTTTTCAATTCTACTTTTTTTTTATCTATGATCTTATTAATATTTTATTTTATTTTTGACCTATTCAATTATTTAATTTCTTTTAGTTGATATAAGGTTATGTAAACAATATATAAATTAGAAATAAAAAAATTGAATAAAATTTATGGATAATGTAGTGTAAGAGAGAATATTATTTTAAGATTTGTAAGTAAATAAGTTTTAATTCATAAGTGTAAAATATATAATACACCAATGAAATTATCATCTCTAATTTACAAAATATCAAATTTTACTATAGATATTTTTTGTTATACTATTAAAAAAATTAAAGAGAAACAATTTAGTGAACAACTTATGTTTAAAATTGATTGAATCAAAAATAATTATTCAACATAAAAAATATCAAATTTTTATGGAAAAATATTAGTTAAGTGAAAATATAGTCATAATAGAAATACTTTGTTTAAATTATTCACTGAAAACTATGCATGATACAATTTAAGTTTATTTGTTAGTAGTATGTACAATATAAATGTTCTTTTATGATAATATGTGTTATATAAATTAATCTACTATTTACTTTTATTGTAATAGAAATAAAAATATAGTAATTATAAAAATAAAATAAAATAATTAACACTCGATTTTAAATCTTGAATTTCAAGATATGTGTACTTGTTAAAAAACATATAATTATAATTAAAATTAATTAAATGAAAATAAATATTACATTTACTTTAAATTATTACATTAGACAATCTTATCATAAATCATTGATAAATTTAAATTTTCAAATCACTTCTCAAAACTAGAAACATAAACCTTGTAAAAATATTGACAAATATATAAAATAATGTTAAGATAAAAGTAAACTATGAAAGAATCATTATTTTAGAATTTATTTACAATAGAATTATTTATTTTTTCACTTTTCGGATAGTCTTGAAAATCCATGCATGCATGACAATGTTAGGAGATGTAACAATTATTAATTTTGGACAATAATATATATAGATAGGTACCTTCAATCAACCAATGTTACGGCAATATATATAGATAGATGGGATCCTTTAACCAATCAACCTTTCGATAGATCCAAGGACAAGCGAAGCGAGCCTGGTCTAAGTCTGTGTATGGCGAGGTTTCGACGAAACTTGCATATATGAGGCCTCGACCATCTTTTTTATAAGATGTTCTTTTGCAATCAAGGATGTTATTATTCCTAATAATTTTCAAGTAATTATTTTTTTTTTTAAATTTACGACTTTAAAGATATTTTCAAATATTTATGTTTCTTATATCATTATATACAGAGAGAAAATATATATCTAAATATTACGAAATATTACACATGCAAATATAATTGAATTTGCATCCGTTATAATCAAAATAATAGAGAACGAAACATCCAACCGTAGTGTTAGCTTCCAATCAACAATAAGCAAATGATAATTACAAATTATAATTATAGTAAATTCTAGTTATTTTTCAAAACTAAGACGCAAAAGAAAGACATTCAAAAAATATTATTTTGACAATATTAATGATCATTATTTTAAGCATAAAGATGATAGCACTAAATAACAAAATCATGGACGACATAGATTTCTTTAGCATTTCAAATTTCAAAAAAAATATTAATTTTATTTTAGATTATCTAACCAATATTTTTTATTTAATTTTATTTGGCATCGAGTTCTGTTAATAGTATTACATTTTATATTTTATCATAAAATACACAATTTTTTGTTAAATAATGAAAACAAAATTATATTGCACTATTAAATTAAGTATAATATAAAAATAATTTTAAGTAAAAATAAAAAATAAAAAAAATAATATCACGTGCGTAGTACATGCATCTTCCTAGTAACTCTAAATATCAAAGATGTTTTTTTCATTTTGGCCGTTTTCTGATTATGTCTCCTATGCGTGTTATGTGTTCTTTCAAAAAAAATAAAAAATAAAAAATAATTCCAAAACGCAGAATAGTATAATCAATCAGTTCTAGTTATGTAGAGTTCGTTTTCGTTCTCAAGCTGAGAACATACTTCAGGTTCGGCAAACTTTGGTGGCTGAACTTTAGGGGACTACTTGTGATGTATGATGTTCAGATTTGGGACGACACTGAAATATACCTTTTGTATCCCTTGCACCTGTCAGAGATATGGTGAACTAAGCAAGCAAAGACTTGATCGAGCAATTCTGACCTTTTTCCAGAACTTTAGGAGGTCTTACGTAGGTGACCAGGCGGTGCATTCATCAAAGGTAATCAAATTGATGATTTATTTCATTCATGATGATCTTTTTTACTCCTCCTTTGATTGTGCTGGCCGTTCTCTATTTGTTGCAGCAGCTGTATTTCCGGTTGTCTGAACTTATTGGACTTAATGATCATCTATTGCTTTTGGACTTTGTTGTTCGAAAAATTGCGACAAACCTCAAGTGTTATACAAAGGTCATTTCTTGTTTTTGCCACTCTCCTCTTATGCATTGTTACTTTCTTCTCTATCTGGATCTCATTTCTTTACTATCAGAGTGAGGAAGTTATCGACCAAACATTGAGTCTGTTCTTGGAGCTGGCATCTGGGTTAGTTTTTCATTTTCTTAAATAAATAAAATGCTGTAGTTTCTCTTTTCTTCTGTAATATTTTGTTACAGCAATCTCATCTTCTTGCAGTTACATGACTGGAAAGTTACTTCTCAAGTTAGACACTGTCAAGTTTATTGTTGCTCATCACACTGTAAGATATGCCTCTTTGGTTTCTGTCAGTTGTATTGGTTCACTAAGTGACGAAGCTATTTACTGATGCCTATCTTTTAGACTTATGTCTATTTTTAATTTCAAAATTCAGAGGGAGCATTTTCCATTTCTTGAAGAGTATAGCTGCTCTAGGAGCAGAACAACGTTCTACTATACTATTGGCTGGCTAATATTTCTTGAAGACAGTGCAGCCGTCTTTAAGTCTTCAATGGATCCTTTGCAGCAGGTATGCTGCTTGTTTTTTCCCTGTGCTCTCTCTCTCTCTCACCATACACGCTCATATTTGTATTATGTTCAGATTGTATTTAGGTGGGCCTGCAAGGAGGCACACCTGTTATTTGTTCCTTTCTGATTTGCAAGTTTTTTTTTTTTTACTACAATTGATAGGCACAATGTTAAGTTATATCTTAATGTAAGATTTAGACTATTAACTTCTTTGCTGGAAGATGACATTGTTCCTTGCAGAGGTAGAATTAACTTGGCAGAGGCATGTAATTATAGAAAGTCTGTTTGACAATGCTATATGTTAATGGGCTTGGGTTGAACTCATCCCCGATAGCAAGCTGAAAGGGAAGTGTGTGCCAATCCACACATATGCAATAACAGCCTAGTAGTTAATTGATGTGGCACAAACATAGACTTCTAACACTGATAGAAATGGGCGATTGTAAACTCCATATAGGAATGCGTATTTTTTTAGGATTCATGTTCGTTGTCAAATCGTAATGTTTTCTTGAACTGAAACTTGCCTTGCAGAATTTATAGAGCATTAATTTTGTGGGCCTCATAATTTATGGATATTCTTTTGCAAACAACTTTTAAAGGCCTTTTTTTTTTCAAATAAAGATATTAATGTAAACAAAAATGTACCATGGTGGACCGAGGATTTTTCATGCCAGGCCCCTACCTCATTTGTGGTTCTTATAATTAGAAGTATACAATGGGAAGGAAATAAACTGGTCAGGTGCTTAATTAATACTACTCCTGTTGAAGGCAGCAATGTACTGGATTATGACGGAAGAAATTTCGGAGGAGATAAATTAAAGGAAATGAAATGGTCATACTTCTTACATGTATTTTATGGAAGCGATACATACATAAATTGTAATCTTGATCAGAATTGGTCTTTTTCTATTGCTGCATGTACAGTGTTGATGAGTTTTTAACAAATGTGCTTGATTATCATCCAGGTATTTTTCATTTTGGAGTCAACCCCTGAGACCATGTTTCGAACAGATTCTGTGAAATATGCTCTAATTGGATTGATGAGAGATCTAAGGGGGATAGCAATGGCCACAAGTAGGTTAGTGCAGATGACTATTGGTAACATGAGTTAGGAAGGATTTGCAATACTTTTTTCCAAATATTTCTTCATTGTGTTTCAGTCGCAGAACTTATGGACTTCTCTTTGACTGGATTTATCCTGCTCACATGCCAATTCTGCTTAGAGGAATCTCACACTGGGCAGACACACCTGAGGTTAGATGCTATTTAAGTCTATCTGCCCCTTCAGTTATATCGTACTGTAAATTGAAAACCATAGTGGTTGATTTCTCTCTATTGGTTCAGCCATATTTTTAAATGGAGCTGCTATGGCGAGAGTTATATCTTCCTCTCGTCAAAGGCGACTTGGCGCGCCTCACCCAAGACCTTCCAGTTTCTGAGTTTTTTTTTTAGAATTACCTTGATAATCGCTCTCTCCTTCAATCTGAATTTGTTCACTGCACACCCAAACTTGGATTTTACCTTTTCTTTTTCCTTTCTGCCGGGTCCTTTTTTTTTTGTTTTTTGTTTTTTTTTTTCTCTTTCCATTTTCCGCTTTTTTGTTTTTGCCTTTTCTCTTTTTCCTCTCTTTCCATTCTTCCTGCCCTCAGTTCTGCCTTAGCTGTTCCTTGCTTTTCTTTTTTTTCTATTTTTCTCGTTTCTGCCTTTTCTCTTTTCTGTTTATTTTGCTATGGCCGCTTTTCATTTTTTTCCTTTGCAGTTTCTCATTTTCAATTTTAGTTTTGGTTTCATTTTCTTTTCTGTTTCTCCTTCATTTCTGGTTTATATATTTTTTTTAATTGCCAGTCTCTATTTTCTTTTCCTTTTACCTTTTAGTTTATTTTATTTAAGAATGTTTGAAATATTATTTTGTGTTTTTGTTATTATATGTCATTGCATATGGAGCTGGAAGAGTCATTATTGACAATTCTCCTGACATAGTGCTAATAATGGACTAGATCAAAATGACTCAATTAAATTCTAGTGCTTCTTCTATTAGTGAAGTTTCTAGAAAAAAAATATATCAAACGACGCGACGCACTTTGGGTCGCTATGGAAACAGCCTCCTTGTATAATTACAAGGGTAAGGTCTGCGTACAACTGACCCCCAGACCCCAACCTGTTGGGAATATACTGGGTATGTTGATGTTGATGTTTCTAATCCCGTGTTTGTTATAAATTATAATACTTGACGTTGATTTTGCAAGTTGAATTAAAATATTTAAATGCACTATCTTAATTATTGTTTGTTACGCTTTGGTGCCTTGTGTTGCCAAATCCTCCCCTCGTGGCTGTTCCATGGGCAAATCGCTTCCGATCATAATTCCCTATTTAAACTATGTCTTTCAGAATACTGGATGTTTATTTATATTTTCTTTTACCAATCATACTTGGTTTGTTACTATTATGTATGCACTAAATTTATGTTAAATTGGGTACATGAATGAGTTGACAGTGACAAACAGTAATTTAATAACGAGCAATTGACGTCACCTAGTTGAATTGTTTGAATTCTTCCCCTATGTGTGAGTGTATTTCTGCATATATTCTCTTGGATATATCTTGTGATTATTTTCATTGTTGGGACTGCAAAGTCTGCAGGAAATGCATCTTTGGTTGAGTAGATTATAACTCTGGTGAATTTGTTTCCTCTCACTTTTGGCACTCATCTGGATATCAAAAGATCAATTCATGTGGTCTTGTTCAATCTTTTATCTGTTTTGATACATTTGAAAAATCACGGCTCATTAAAACTTATTTGTGTAGGTGACAACACCATTGCTGAAATTCATGGCTGAGATCGTATTAAATAAAGCTCAAAGATTGACTTTTGATACTTCATCTCCGAACGGCATACTTCTTTTCAGAGAAGTCAGCAAGCTATTAGTTGCATATGGCTCGAGGATTTTGTCATTACCAACTGCTACTGATGTATATGGCTTCAAATACAAGGGAATATGGATTTCCTTGACTATTCTTACTCGGGGTATAAATTCTATGCAGTCATGCTAAAAACATATTGGTTCTTTATGGTCCTTACTCATTAATAAGTGCATTTAGGTTTTTTCGTTTGTGTTCATCTGCGTGTTCTACTTTTAGTATTAAGCTCATTGGCTATCTGTTTTATCGGCAATGTTAGAGTAACCTTTTTATTTGATTTCGTTCTAGGAAACTCTTGGTTGTCGTGTGCACACACTTTACCAGTTGCTAGACTTGTGACAATATTGTACCATGACATATTTGTTAGCTGATCTTATTTCAGTTACAATTGCAGTAGTCAATGACATGAGTGTCAAGCCCTCGTTGAGTTTATCTGATCCATATATAGAAGGAATCCTTATATTACATTGTAATTCTTGAAGGAAAATTGGTTTATATACTCATATGAATGCATATTAGAGTACAAAATTACTTGAACATCTTATATGAACTCTGTTGAAAGTGCTCAGTTGAATGTTCTAAATCTATTGCACTATCATGTCATAATTTTCTAAGGTGGTGATTGTTGTGGGGGGTTTTGGGAATGGGGAATAGGGATAAAGTTAAAATTAATGCCTGGTAGCTAGACAACTGTGGGTTGGTTTGCTCATTTTAGGGTATTGAGCCATACACCTCTCCCCCCTCCACAACAGGAAAAAGGACAAAGGAAGATGTGAAATCCAATACTCCTTTATATCAGTCCTGTACCCTTTCCTGTTGCTTAAATCTTGCATACTCACCTGATATGGTCTATATCTGTTTGCATCCTGGTTTGACCAGAACCCACTAATGTGACTTACAGTTACTCACATGAAAATCTAATAGAACATCATTTTCATTTGCATTTCATATAAAGTATTTTTTAGTTCTGCTAACAGATTCCTCTTTATTTTCAATTATATCCACCCAATGACAGCGCTCGCTGGAAATTATGTCAATTTTGGTGTTTTTGAACTTTATGGTGATAGAGCACTTGCGGATGCACTTGATATTGCCCTTAAGATGACGCTGTCAGTTCCACTGGCGGACATTTTGGCTTACAGGAAGGTTTGTTAGCTATTTCATGGTGCAGTTATTTTAAATTTTAGTGTTTCATTTGCTTTTGGTCAAATTTTCATAAAAAAACATATTCTCTGGGATTTGAATAGGTAGGTAGCTAGGCATATAGTTAATTATAAGGAAAAGAATGTGAGCTTTACTTGTGAGAAGTCCATTAAAGGTCAATTGGTCAAATAAAGAGTTCACCTGATCCACAGTGTAAAAAGAGGCTAGATACAATATTTTTAGGTACTGTTATTTCATGTTGAATTCATTTTTTAATGTGACGTTAATTCATGAGCTTGCCCTCATTCTTATTCGTTGCAGTTAACAAAGGCATATTTTGCATTCGTGGAGGTTCTATTTAATAGCCATCTTGTTTTTGTTTTGAGCCTTGATACACGCACCTTCATGCATATCGTTGGTTCACTTGAGTCTGGTCTCAAAGGTCTCGATGCTGGCATATCCTCCCAGGTTTGTCCTGATTGTGCTTCACTTCTTCATATTCCATATATCATATACCAACTAGTAACCTCTGTTATTTTACTAAGCATTGACTTTGATGCCGTTTTCTACTGCTGCTGTCGTCCAATGGGTCAGGACTTTGTGTAAATGTGCTGTGTGATACATGTGAAGTTCAGTAATAATGATTGTGTATATGCGCTCTGTGGTAGCATGTCATGTTCAGTAATTATGAACCATAGATGCTGTAGTCCTGTAAAGGTGTGTTGAACATCTTTGATCGTCAATTTCAGTCTTCTGTCAGTACACCGGATGCTTAACTTCTCATGCATATTGATGTCTTGATTATTATAACATCTTCTGGTTTGTAAGAGAAAGATACTTATTTTGGTCCAACACTGATATTATTTCAAGAATTTCCCAACCATATGCCATGTTAAGTTGATGGGTATAATTAGGGCGAACTCGTTTGTAGTGAGTTTACAAGTTAAAGTTGTGATTGATCAGTTGTTGGTTTGGTGGACATGCATGTACTGACCCTATGATTTGCAAGATTATTTACTACATATAACATCATGTATGCTGTATGTGTTGCTTGTGAATTTTCATTCTTGCATGTACATGATTTTGGTTCTAAGAGGAGAGACTTGATACATGGATTCAGTTGATGTATAGAGGTGGCATAACCTCTACTTAAATGGTTAAAGCACAAAGATAAGAATTACTAGTAAGAAAGAATAATTGAAGCTTATACGGGGTGTGTGCATCTAGAGCTGATTTCAAAATCAAAATTAGTAATTTCCTACATTTCCGAGGATTTTATGTTGCTAAGAGATGCATGTAGACCTGGCTTCTTGGTCTGGAACCTGCCGAACTAAAAAAATCTGTCTCTTGCATATGGATGGCATTTCTAACAAGAAAAATCAATGGCGGCATTCAACATATTGTATATTCTGCTAATATTGTTGTCGTTATGATGATATATTGACTAATATGGGAATACCATCTTGCATAAAATTTTCCATATTCTGCTAATATTGTTGTCATTATTATAACCAATGGAATACCATTTATCATGAAATTTTCCATACATCGAAATACATCTATACAACAGCACACCATACAAAGATAAACAAAAAGCAAAGACACATAGATCAACAATACTCTACATGTACAGGTGTGAAACTGTACCATAGTACAGGATAGTAACAGGACCAATTTTTTCTTGGAATAATACCATGAACCGATCCAAAGTACCAGACCTATAGGTAAATGCTTCCAGCAAAACCCGATCACGCACTATGGTGCTTAATCTTCTGTGCATAATGATCAGTGTTCCACAGGGTCTTAATGATATGTTTATTTTCATAGGATAACTAGTATTCGATTCTGTGCATTTGCACAGATATAAATAAAATATTGTAAGTTATTTATATATATATATATTATTAAAATTATAAGTTAGATAATGATATTAAATTTTAAATATAGAGTATTATGAGTTATATTTATGCATATAATATTAAAATTTTTTAATATATTGCAGGACCATTTTGCAGTAGGGTTTTATTTCAGGGGATTTAATTTTTCAAAATATTTGATATATCTTTTTAATCCGAAAAATTATTTTTTTTAATATTGTATGACTGTAATACAAAATAGAGATATTTTTAGTCATTCTTAATTAGTTGTGAAATATTTATTTATATATAACAAAAGATATATTTTATCAAAATAAAAGCAAAAATATTTTTTATTTCGGGACATGAAAAGGCGTTACACAAATGTATACCATCCAAAATGGGACATGTAAAAATAATCGTGTTAAATGGTGAACATATTTTTATTAAATGAACACTTATTTATATTAGATGAACTACTATTATTATTAATTGCTGGCTAAATAAAATCTATTGAAGCTTGTCAGCAGTTATATATATAGATGTCAAATTGAGACAGTTTTTAATATCTTTTGCTTTTACTATATGTTTCTTTATAGAGCAAAATACATTGATTTAAGTTGAGGTGTGTATCTTTGCCATGTTCTTCGGACAGTCTGTGTTTGTGGCTGCATAAGTTCAATTCTATGTTAAGTTCTGAGGATATTATTGGATACATGCAAATTTTGTTATTTCTTTGTGTGGTCTTCACGATCCTTCGATCAGTTAATTTAGCCTGTCAGGGTTGAAGCATCTATCAGTCTTGCTTAATGTTCCCAATTTGCTGTTGTGGCAGTGTGCATCTGCAGTAGATAATTTAGCTGCTTTTTATTTCAATAATATAACCATGGGTGAAGCGCCAACATCACCAGCTGCAGTTCATCTTGCCAGGCATGTTGCTGAATGCCCGACATTGCTCCCTGAAGTAAGATTTTTAACTACTTATAATACGACCAATATGATGTGTTGTTAATGCCCACATTTCAAGAGACATTGTAGACCTGCCCAAGTTATGTCCTTTTCCCTCGTTTGTTATAATGTTTGTTAGTTGCATATCAATGGTATATAAGTAGGTTTTGGTATAGTTTTCTATTAGTACAAAATTTTGAGTGATATCATCATGTAGGGTTATCTATGAAATGATCATCATTATCAAACAGTATCTGTCCTTCAGTGCATGATATCTCCAAAAATTGTAATGGAAACAAGTTTTTCATCAGAACACAATTTGTTTGAGAACTTCGTACAAATTCGTTAATGAGAAGCTTCAAATACAATAATTACCATTAGATTCTTATTAAAATAGTATGGTGACTAAAGGCTTTGGGTTACTTGGGTATACATCAAATCAAAGCATCCAGTATCTCAAACTTCAGGCTCCATAGAATTGTTTCTGTGTGCAGTATCAAAAATTTCGGCTAACATGTTAAGTACTCGACAGGGATCATGTTTTCTTCACCTCATTGCTTGTGAAATATACTCGTGTACTGCCACCATTTTTTTGTTATTATTTTTTTTTTCTGTCTTGATCTAACTAAACACTCTTTTATTTCAGATACTCAAAACCCTTTTTGAGATTGTTTTATTTGAGGACTGTAGCAACCAGTGGAGTCTAAGTAGGCCAATGTTGAGCTTGATACTCATAAATGAGCAGGTGGTTACTTCTCCCCATTGATATTCTTGTTTCTCTCATTATTATATGATTGAATTTCTGTTTCTATTAAGTTGCTAAAAACATGTAGTTTTGTTGCTCACGAATTGTGCTATGAAATTGTGAACGCACAATACACTGCTGCTTTGATTTAATTATTAAGTGAGCTTTTTTTTCCTTTTGTCACTTGTTAGTTGTTACAGGATATGATGGGTTGATTTCATTATTATTATTATTATTATTATTTATTTTATCTGCAATCAATACAATACCAAAGAATATGAATCTACAACTATTGTCTGATTAAATATTAAGAGCCTCGGCATGATTTCACCCTAACATACTACGCCATGGGTTTTATTTTTTTTTTATTTTTATTTTATATTTTTTTCTATTTCATCACACATTCTTACACTTGGCAATGTGGTAATTAATCTGATGAAAAATCACACGTGCAGATGTTCACGAATTTGAAAGCTCAAATACTGGCTTCACAGGTAAACAAAACCCTTACAGCTATATTTTCCAGCATTCTGTTGAGTTCTTATTTCAGACTTTTGAAGTCTTTTAATAAGTTTTCATTATTTGTCGTCTGTTATACATACATACCTCTATTTATATTCCCAGTGACACGTGGATAGTTTATTTTGATGAACTTTTTTTTATTCAATGAATCAGAGACAAGTGGTTTATATATATATAGCTGATTTTTCATTCACCTGATGACACGTGCAGCCTGCGGATCAGCATCAGCGACTTGCCGCTTGTTTTGATAAATTGATGTGTGATGTGAGCCGAGGCTTGGATTCAAAGAACAGGGACAAGTTCACACAAAACTTAACCACGTTTAGGCACGACTTTCGTGTCAAGTAGTAGGTTTACCACCGCCCAAAAAAAAAGGGGTATATAATTGGTGGCCGGGGTAAAATCCAGCATGACTTTTTATGTTTTTTTGCATTTGCCCCCTGTTTTTTTCTTGAATCATTTTATAAATGTCCTAGGAAAGGTCTCAGTTTGTTGTATGGCTAAAAGAATGCAAAGTTATATGAAAATCCGCAATGGAATCGTGTTATTTGGTGCTTTTGCTATATAATATGTACGTTCGTTTTTTATATGGGCTGAAAACTATGAAGACTAAAAGGCAGATGGATGTGTTTGTTTGTTTGGATGAAGAAGCCGATTGGTGGGGAATTATTGGCATGAAAATTTGATAGTGGATATACTGAGAAGAAAGTAACTGTGATCTGTTCTGATGTGTGGAGATTTGAAGGTAACTGTTCACTCTTGTACACTACATAAACGTCTTCTTAGTTCTTACATTTGAATTTAATTTGCGATTTTTTACCTAAATTGGAGACATGTTTTGATATGGGATGTTGATTATTTTGGGGATTTTTCAATATAAATCATAATTATGAAAATGATTATTTTTTATTATTAGACTCTCTATGTACAATTTTTTTTTGTATTCTTTTCCTCTTCACAAATAAAAAATTTTATTTGGCACCATTACTTTAGTTGAATTCTAGTAGCATATATTATTATTATTATTATTATTATTATTATTATTATTACGGATAGTTGTCAAAAATTTTATTTAACATTATCATATTGCCCATTTAATATCTATGTTTGCACTCATATCATATTTGTACTTGTGTTCGTTAAAGAAAAATCGTTGCAAATGATTATTTTTATTGTGTAATTTATCTTTTATTTTGCTTATTAGTATGTGAAACTATATTTAGTTCACGTTATTAGTATTTTATTGTCCTTTTTAGTAACTTATATGTTTTTCCGATTTTGTTTATTTACACGATTCATAACCTGTTCTTTGTTTTTGTAAAGTACATGGTATTTAACTCCTATTTCTTATAAAAATTGATGCAGTTGATTTTTTATTTTTTTTTCTATGTAATATATATATATATATATAGGGGTTGGATCCAATGAGTACACATATTTAAAGTGTGAATGTGAGACCCATTCCTAGCCACTAGATTGGTACATGATGTGTGGCCAAGATTTAACTCTTCATTTAAATAATAATTCTTTATTTTTATTACTTAATTCTTTATTTTTATTATTTAATATTATTTTGACAATTGACCATTGACTTCGGTGTTGACCGTTGACTTCGGTGTTGATCGTTGACTTTCGGCGTTGACCGTTGACTTCAGGCGTTGACCGTTGACTTCCGGCAAAAAAAACGTTGACTTCCAGCGTTGACCGTTGACTTCCGGCGTTGACCGTTGATCCTTAGTCTACATTTTGTATGAAGTAAATATGTATACAGTACTATGCACTGAGTATGAACTAAATATGCATAAGAAATGAGTTATATATGTCATCTTTATGAACTAAATATGCAACAATAATATCAATTATGTATGCACTGTTTATGTACTAAATATGCACATTTTACTAACTAAATATGCATCAGGAATGAACTAAATATGCAATAAAATATACATTTTATACAATTAAATTAAATATAATAATTAATGATTTTTTATTATATAATTAATTTTAATTTTAAATTGATTAATAACACAAATAAATTGTTATGACTGGATCTCAAAATAAAATAGGTATGCTCTGTTCATGAACTAAATATGCATTTTGTAAGAACTAAATATGTATCATGAATAAACTAAATATGCATCATAAATTAACTATATAAATATCATTATATATTTAATCTATTAATATATAATAAGGATTAATATAATTCACTTTTAGAAACATTTTCTCGCCAATTTCATTAATTATTGCCTAAAAATAGTAAATTAACAAAATCTCTATTTATTAGCATATCTTTTTTATCCAATTTTTTTTAGGAATACAATAAAAGATATGGAATCAAAATCAAAATAAATCTAAGAAATACACTTACCATACTTAATACACTTAATTTAAGATATACGCTTACCATACGTATTTTTAAAAAAAATTAAAATGCAATATAAAACATTTAATTAATAATTGTCAATTAAAGATTGTTTTTAAGAATCAATCACATTTCTAATAATTGTTAGAAATAATTTATTTATATAGTAGTATTTACGTGAAAGTAACATATATGTTACTTATATGTTAACATATATTAGTATTTCTGTTTTTTTATTAATAACATCAAATACTTTTATATTGGTAACCAATAAGGAATCAAAATCTGAATAAATCTCCTATTTTTCCAAACAATTTGGAAATCTTAATGTAAATCTGAATAAATCATGATTTTAGAAATCGTGATTTCCAAACAATTTGATAATCCGAATATATCTCCAAGGAAAATCATAATTTGTATATACCATGATTTTAGAAATCTGTTCAAAATTTTCTTTGCATGAATCTGAATCATAATTTATTCAGCCTATTATTATATTATTAAATTGTTTGAAACCGCATGCTAAGACTTGTAAATATCAGATTCTAAAATCATGATTTGTATATATCATCTTTTCACCAATTAGACTTTTTCTTCATTATCGATTGGAAAAGGAAAACGAATTTTATATACCTTATCGGTTTTGATAATACAATGTTCATTAACATTATTTATTTTAACAGAAAGTGTTTGCCATTTATTTGATTTCAAAAGATGAAAAAAATTTCATAGTTTAGGTCTCTTTTTATTTATGCATTTACACAAATTAATTTAAAAACTCTAATAACGATTGGCAACAAAATTTGTTATATATTAATTCAAACCAACTAATTAATAAAAGAGTCTCACGAAATTAAAAAATAACACACGGTCACTACATTTCAAAGATTAAGTTCTTTAGATAAACATTCATTTATATTGTCATGACAATAAACAAGAGTGAGTGTCAATCTTAAAAATTTGATGATTTCAACTGCTATATTTCCAATGGTTTTTTTACCGTAGGAATTTCCGTTGGAATATGCAAATTCCGTTGGATCTTTTTATTTACACCCTGTTGAAAAATCCACCGTTGGAATCGTCAAAATCCAATGGAAATTCCAATGGAAAATTCTTTCCAACGGAATATTTTAGTTGGAATTTTCGTTGGAATCCATTGTAAATTTCCAACGGAAATAATAGTATTGAAATATCCGTTGGAATTGTCGTTGGAATAATTTCTTATGGAATAGATTTCCATTGGAATTTTATCATTTTATTGTAGTGTGCCCAATAATCAAACTAATAAGGTTGTTTACTGTAACACCCCGCTACTTGTAATACATCAGAATGCGCGATTTTCGCAAATTTTCTGAATAAATAAATAAAATACTAATTTTTGTGAAAACTGATCGGGATGCTACCGTGAAAAACTTGATTTTCTGAAAACCGTTAAAATT